GCTTTCCTGATAAGACAGCAAGCAGCAGTTTGATAACTCAGGTCCAGTTCAAATTCAACTACTTACAAAACAATGTTTATCAGAGGGAGCGCATGTTTTGCCTCTGAGACACTCAGTTATACAGGGGGTGTGATGGACCCCTGTCAGCAAAGGGGGACAGCAGCAAAGAGAACAAACGTGGCACTTCATTCCCAGCTAAGGATAAATGGAGACCTGGTCTTGCCACCCCTTTTGGCACTGGGAAGTGTCCTGTTGAGTCAGTAGAACTATGTGCACAGCACTCATGTATTTGTTACAGGACTGAGATATTACATATTTTAGAATCTTTGCACATTATATCATGAGTCTCAACACATTTTTACATGCTGAAAATGGGCCAGTTCACATTTGGAATATATCCAAAATCAGGATCCTGAATTCAACCTAAATCTTTCTTAGTATATCTTGTCAGATATACTAAATATATGTGTATGTATATAAAAATATATGACCTATATATTTTTATATGTCAGATATACTTGGCTTACCTTGTAGCTAGTTCCAGCAACCACCCACGCAACCTTATATTTGGGACAGGTATCTTCAATGCCCCAGTCTGTATCTCTTCTTGTGTCTTTTTCTAATGCATGTACCCAGTTTTTTGTTGTGTTGATCTTTACACCAGGGATTCTATTCCCACTTTTCAAGACCACTTTTCCCCAGAATTTCTTCCCATATCTACTAATCCCACAGAAGTATTAAGACTATTTACAACAGTGACTCCATGTAATCGCACATGTCATGGACATGCTTCTTCTCAGATAATCACTTAAACCTGAATTTCAGGTGAGCAGCCTGAGTCCTAAGCCCAAGAAAGTGAAGGAAAGGAAGAAAGCAAACAAGCAAGAAAGAAATTAAAAGAAAGGAAGGGGGAAACAAAATAGGGATAATATTGCCTTGTGTCTCTTTGGCTACTGCCTCCACTGTAAATGCTTTGAGGAGGAATTGGAAGCTGGTTCACCTTTCCAGCTGGAGATTCCATTGCATTGAGCACATCCTCAGGCAGCCATTTCATCCTGCTGAGCCCCACTGTGCACCCTGAAGCAGTACCCACTGCACTTGAACAAGGTTGAACATCTAGACCCCATGAGCATCTCTAGTGAATTGTGATGAGTAATACAAATTTTTAAAATCAATGTAATAAAAAAGCTTTCAGCCAGAAAGCCCCCATATAATTATACAAGTGCAGAATGCTTTTATTAGGAACAGTAGGGTTTTTAAAATTGTATATCGGGGGAAAAAATCTGTATTTCAAAATGCAAGTGTCTGCAAGTTAATTATCATTATGGAAAGATCTTTGCTTTTCCTCCATTCCCAACATAAAACACTTTTCTCTTACTCTGCCTCCAGAAATTCCACTAATAAACACCAGTAATAAAAACTCCTAAATAGCTGTTATTTAAATGAAAACAATCTTTTTAAGACAGATATTTTTGGTGTGTTTTGGTCTTGCAAGGCTTTATATACTGAAAACAAAAAAAAATTGGTACTGACCTTTTCGGATCCAAGATTTCATCTTTTGCTCCTATGGTAGAAATGGTGTAAAACAGCAAATGAAAAGTGTTAACTAAGAAAGCAGAGACTAAATAAACACAAACAAAAAACATTCTTTGGCAATGGAGACAATAATTTCAGTGATAAATGTAGCAACAAAGCCTTTTCTAAGCTCAAGGTACCCAGTAAGGACGGAGATATTTTTCTGTAAAAGATACTCTCTGTGTGTATGGATATTTATATTTAATGTCAAATCTCATTTGACCACAAATGTAATAACCTTTCTTTAAGAAATGCTCATAGTGAAGATTTTATAACAGAATTGTATTTTACAAGATTACAGGGTTTTTTTCCTTCCATTTGGGTTTCACTGGATACAAGTAGTACCAGCTAACTAAGAAAAACAGAGAGAATCTCATGTAGGCAAATTCCCATATCATTATAAAAGAAAATAATGGACAAAATCCTGGATTACTACTTTGTGAGAAGATTTCATCCTGAACATGAGTTCATCTTGCAAATTCTCTGTACTCAGTGAAAATCAGGTGTTGCTGCACCATCTACAAGGCAAGGGATGAAGTGTGTGTGTCTCTGTCTCTGTGTCTGTGCGAGGGCGACTATCAGCCATTTAAGTTTTAATTACAAGTCTACCCTGTGCAAGGCCAGAGGGATGATCAAGTGCAAAAAGGCTTTGAACTTCAGCTGTAGTATTGCACCAGATTAGCTCTGGGGTCTTAAAGGTCTCAAAGAGGCTTTGTGCTGCAAGAAGATACTTGCCTGCAAACATCTCACCCCACTCACCTCTGGCGGTCCTCCTTCCATCCAGACCCACGTGATTAACCACCATTCCCAAAAGTCTGGAGCACAAACTGGTAGCAGAACTTCAATCTCTTCTGCATGAAGTCCTCTCCATTCCTCTACTCCATACATAACACACCAAAAAGAGGCCATGTAATGACAGAGATGGCCTCCTAAGACCCTGTTCCAAGAAAGCAACCCAGCCAAAAATAATGGGTAGAATGGGTGTAAGAGCTATATTCCATGTTTATAGCTCAATCAGCATCTGAGGACAGAGGTGGGAAGGACATGAGAAATCCAGAACTGTGTCTCCAGCATGATGGAGCTTAGGGAAGCTAACCATAACTTGACACACTCCTCAAGCAGCTCACATTTACTGACAGGATCAGATATCTCACATGGAAGTACAAGAGCATCTTAAAACTTTCTCACTACCCTGTAAGCTAAAAATGTAACTAACTGCCAAACAGCATATTAAAAAGGAATTAGCATTTTTCTTTTGTAATACTGAGTGCTTGGTCTCCTTTCCAAGGATAGGATTTAAGTTTCTGAGTCCATTAGTGGTTTAAAGAATGTACTGTCAATTTCCATACCTTACAACACTTAATTTTCTTCCAAACAATTTTAGAAGCCTATATCAATCCCCTCGTCTTGTAAAAAATGTGAAGCATCTTCCTCTTTTGAAAGTGATTGATGGAACATTTTTCATGGAGTAATTAATTAATTATTCTAAGATTTTAACTAATAGTTGGACACAAAAAATCCCAGAGAAATTGAAATGTAGCTTCTTTGTTCTACTTTTGAGTCTAAATCACTTCTCACCAAACACACAAAGTCACTATTAAAGTAAAACAGCTGAGTATGACTAGGCTGCTTACCTGATACTGTAATTTAAAAAAAAAAAAAAATCAAACTCTTCATCTGTAATCCATCGTTTTGTCAATACCACACAAGTTGAAATAACTGTATACTGAAACAAGCTGCTTAAAAGAACTGAAAAGTGCCAGGAAATTGAGACAGGCTTTAGTGGGCACAAACCAATGTGTCCTGCTAGATTCAGACCTCTTTCTGGCAGACCTCTTTCTACACACTAAAACGTTTTCTACATCTACTTTGTGTGACAAGCAACACCTACAGCCAATGAAAACTAGTATAATAAAGAGATACCATCATATACTCAGAATTAATTTAAGAAACTCCAGAAACAGTTTCCACAACCAAATGAGGACACCACGTGTCTGTGTATTAGTTTATTTAATTCTTTATCGCCACTAAGAGCAAGTAAATTACGCTGATACAATTGGTAAACATATACATTCACTAGAGCCCCCCAAAATCCCACAGAGCTAAGGGAAACATCAAGGGATGTTACAGGATTAATGCTTTCGTTCTACAATATGGATATATGGCTTTCATACAAGTTTTAAAAAATTGAAAAGGTAACACACTGCTAGCTTACAAAATCAATATACAAACTGGGAAAAAAAAGGAAAAGGAACAGGAAAAGAAAGAACCCATAAGAAGATATCACATAGCACTGGTTTAATAGATATATACAGAATTAGAAATCCATTGAACATGATATTCAGGCTTTGTTATTTTGACTTTCATTTCTCCTTTCAGTTTACCACTCAAACTATAAGAATTAATATGATTTCTCTCTTACTTTTATTTTTCCATCTTATTTTACCCATTTTCCTCACTTTTTATTGGAAGAGAAAAAGACTTTTCCTGTCTGTGTTTATATGTTCATACTTAACTGAAGCAGTTAGTTCACTTCAAAGCTTTGAACAAAGCCCTTGTGTGTACTTGATGTGACAGAAGAGAACATCACTGTGATAGTAAGTCCTTTTGGCCATTACATTGGCATGTGTTTTACATTTCCCTTGGACACAGCTATCCTTAAACTGAAGTGCTGGCAAGTGGGAAGAAATCTAGCTCTTCATCCTAGTTGTGTATCCTCATGTAAACAACAGCACAGGACAAAAAGCTCTTTCATTTCAATCACAGCCTGAAAACATGGCAGCACTGGTCGTGATTCACATTTGGACTTAATATATATATATATATATATATATATATATATATATATATATATATATATATATATATATATATATATATATATATATATATATATATATAT